GAGGGACGGAAGGAAAAAAAGAACTCAATGATTTAAACGATTCAGTTTTTATTGGTTATCATAAAGGTTCCGTTCCTCTACCCCTCCCCCTTCGTTGTTTTGCTAGGATCCGTTTTTCGTCTTAATGATCAAGAGCTTTAGTAAATGAAACAGGAATCATTTACTGCAATATTTTCTTATAAATTTCGTCACAAAGAATGCACTAAGACTAAGAAAATACTGTGTGATCGCTATATGGTATAATAAAATGAGAACCTGCAATTATTTGGGATCATATTTGAATTTTTATGGGACCGGGGGCTGTTGTCTGCTACGATCGCTACGATCAAGGATACTATACATAGGCGAGGTCAAGTAGGAGTAGGCGTCGAAGTCTAGTAGGAAAATCTGGAAATCCCCGGCGTGACGTCACGTCGGGGATGACCGACGGCACCTTGCACTGAAAGATACGGCAGAACGGCTATTTTTGAAAAATGATTAAAAATATTTTTGTGCTGTTATGACACATAAAACGCTTATTCAGCATGTTCCTCATCATGTGATAAAGGCATATCCGTGGTCGAAAATAGCCGAGACCCTCCCAATTTCCAACCATCGACCTGATAAGCAAAGGATGTAAGCGTAATCCTTAAGGGCGACTTTCCGTTACATATCTGTACATATGCAGCCTTATGGAAATCGGAAGTTTGGCGATTGGCGACGCGCGCGACATCTGTGCTGCGACTGTAGCGACACCTGGTGGCTGCTTTTCTGCTGTATGTAGGTATTGGGGTTTTGCCAGATGTGGTTCCTACTGCTACACCACTATGTTAACCCAATACTAGAAAAGTTATTTTGCTAGTAAAAGGCAAGCAAATTGAAAGTTGATTTATAAAATTGCTTATAAATGATGACGAGATAATAATAAAGAAATTTTGATTGAATAATTATTTAAATAATCAACCGTGAAACTATATTCTGGTAGGTTTAGTAGAAATAAGTCCGTGCAACCTTGTATTTAGGGCCCTGGGCGAGGTGTGTACTATGTTGTAGTCTTTCCTGCTAGGCTGAAACCCACCAAAGATTGTTTTTGCGTATAAATGTGGTAATACCTATGTCCTACTCAGTGATTGGGTGTCTAATAAGCGGTAAGGGAACAACACAGACACCCTGAGTTAGCGAGGCAGCTCGGGACAGGCGGTAGAGATAAAAGAGGAGGGGATACTGATAAGGCATCTTATCAGCTAGGGGACGACGCGGCGCGCGGCGAACGCGCGCGGCGGCTCGGGATAAAAGGGAGGGAGAGAGGGTGGGAGTAGGTAGGTAGAGAGAGAGAAAGAGAGAGAGAGAGAGAGAGAGAGAGAGAGAGAGAGAGAGAGAGAGACAGAGAGAGAGAGAGAGAGAGAGAGAGAGAGAGAGAGAGAGAGAGAGAGAGAGAGAGAGAGAGAGAGAGACGGGTGAGGCAGGTGTTGTTTTGACGGTTTCGACTGACGCTAAAGAGGGGGGAGGGGGAGCGGGGGAAAGAAATGGCCTGTGGATCTACTCTGTGTGGGGTCAGAGGACAGTCCAGCGAGAGCGCTTGAGCGTGGCGGAGTGTATACGAATTTCTCTGCGTTCAAACAGGAAGTGAGAAGTTGTAGTGCCACGTGACTCAGACCTCCAACCGTGATACCAGTCGAGGCGCCAGAGGACACAGGACACAGGCCAGGTGAGGGTGGAGCTGCCGGGAGGCAGTTTCAAACACCTACCACTTACTGGATATTGCATCTCAAGATGTCCAATCCTGCCTGTTCATGTGTATGCCTGATAAACAACGATAGCTGCAGAACGATAAGGTGGCGGTCTATAGGTACTTGGTCTACATGTCAAATTGACGAATTTTTGTGTGAAATAACTCCAGATCAATGTCATACAGTTCACATATCGATTATCATGTAGCCTGAAACACATTTCGTACAAGTTGCTCTCGCAAACAGCTAAACGTCGTACCAATGCCGTAAAAAAGCGCTGCTGAAGAGCAGCGCTATTTCCGATGCGTTATTTTTCACGAACAACGCAAAGTCTTACGTCACCAGAGGCGTCTTTGTCTCTTTATGATACGGAAACGCGTCCTTTTGGGTGGGGGTAGCGTCAATCTGGCTTCGTTCTTTGAACGGGTTCCGTCTTCCGTCTTCGTCCTTTTATGATAACCAAATTCCGTCTAATCTCAGAAATGACGGAGCGTCCCTCCGTTCTTTTCTTTATAAGAATGGCCACGGCGCCTCAAATCTCTCGTGTTGTACCGGGCTGATGTATCAGAGCGACAAACGCGAGCCACTTCCTCCGGTCAACTGGATGCATGTCGCTGCAGACTTGAGTTGACTAGAATGACTGTGCCCGTGCGCGCCGTACGAATATGGAACACTCTAGATCGTAGCATTCGGGAGAATACCAATAGGCGGTCCTTCAAAAAGTGTGTCAAGTGTGCCACCATGCAATAGCCATCTACGCGCGCGTCCTCTGTTTACTGCTTTTTACTGCCGCTTTTCGCTCTATTTTTATGTTTGCTGCACTTTTGCATTTTAAACACATCTCTGGTTTTATTCATATTTTTAGTCCATCACATGTTTTACGCATGAAGATACATCATGGCAGTCTTTGTAGGACACTGTGGCCTAACAGCCAATGTTTTATTGGATGCCACAAAGAACCGCAATAAGTACAGTTTCTTTTTTAATGCTAGAATCTGGAAAATTGGGTGAATGCATACCTCTGGTATCTGCTCTCAACTAAGCAGTGACCTGACCTTGCGAAATGACTCTTGCTCTGAGTAAGAGTCGAGTCGCCGACGGGTTCATTTGATAGTTTTCGTCTGAGGCAGTGGAGAGAAGGGAGTACAGTCTCTCGTTTCGTAGTAAGGCGACGTGTTGGTGGCATGGTGGCATGAGCCAGAAGCTGGCCTGTCAGCAGCTGGACATCAGCAGCAGCCAGTAGCACATCTGCCTCATGCCTGAGGCGTAATAAGCTTGGACTTGGTGGCAGACTCAGCCCGGCCTCGATCGCAAAGGGCGCCCTTTGCCAAGTGGTGAGGAGAGTTGTCAGGATAGCGACAAGGAAACGGCACCAATTAATCCGCATACTGACTCGAATTCTTACCAATGCAGATATTAAGAGGTCCCACATCATGAGTCACCGTTACCCGCCTTTAGCTTGGTTTTACTGCTCTTCAAACTGAAAAGACAATGAAATTGGCGGGAAAACAACCAGTCCACCACCTTTGGCCTCAGGCCAGGGCGTGTCCACTGGTCGAAGGAAGACATGAATGAGGTGGCCTGGTCGGATGGGAAGCTGTTCGAGCTGCGATGTCCGTTGAGCCGTCAAATCGGCCATGTGTGGGCTGCCAGCAGCTTGACTATGCCGGCCGTCGCCGGCGTCAAACATCCGGCCAAAATCCAGACCTGGAGTATGTTCAGCTGCTGTGCAATATCAAGCTGTTCATGACGCCACAGAAAGCCACTATCAGTGACGAGTATTACCAACATCCTGGCTAGCGATTGGTTGGAGCCATTCAGCCAGAAGGCACAGGAGGGCTCGGTTTCTGAGCGCGTACCTACTGATGCCTGATTCAAGCCGCGCAGTGTTCATGCGGGGCGGCACACCACCTTCAATTCCCTAGCAGAATGAAAAGTGATGCCGAAAGGACCTATTTTTCTTCTGGGCTAACGGGCTATGGCTTGAAAATAGTTCCCATCCCAATTCCATCGATATCTTATAGACTATTGTCCAGCAGGAGATGAATGAGGGGACACCCGCCACCAGCGCCGCCTTACTATGGGCACAGGTTAGTAAGGCGCTGCTCTACATGAAACTCACTGTGCTGGAAAACCCAGTGGCTGGAATGCTCCGAAAATTTGTACCTGCGCTCTTATGAAAGGTGGCTATATAATAACTCAAAAGAGAAGATATCAGATTGTCTTGCTTCTCAATTACAGCGCGAAGAAAGATGTCCGAATAATTTCGTTACACCCTATAGTAAAGCTAGAGCGTTGTGGAAAAAAAACGAGCTTGGGCATCGCTTTGAGACTCAGTGACTGGTACCCGAGTTGAAGATCTCAGATAAACCAATGACTCTGGGGTCAAACTAAGTGCCCCAGGCGCGGCTCGGTTTTTGGTAAATAGCTTCACCATAAATGGCCGCAGAATCGCAATTTTGGCAGCCGTGAGGCCTTCATGCCCAGGCGTGTCGAACTGTAAACGTTTTGTTTGGTGGAGGTCAATTTGAGGTGTTGACCTCAGGTCAAGATCAGGGCAGAACCATTCAGGTCACGAAACTGGTCTCAGGGTACACTTAAGCAAGCAAACAAGTATATCATTCGACGCGCCTTGACGTGCTGAGTTCACTGGTGCTTTTCTTTTTGCTCTCTCTTAATTAGATCAAAAGTTATAAGCGAAAAAAACTTTTTACCTGTTTTTAGCGAAATTTTTACATTTACCCCCAAAACCCCCCTAATTATTGACTTAGAGCAACCAAATTTGCACAGGGGCGAGAACTCCAGGGGCCCACCTACCTACCAAATTTGGTGTTTCTAGGTGCCATAGGAGCCAATCGCGAGGGGGGTTGCATCAACCCCCCCCCCTACCAGGCCGTGAATTATAAAAAATGCCCTGCCAGGGCGAGGGTTTATTGAAGCTGTTCCGCCGCTACAGCCTGGAATTAAAATTAATTTCGCGCGCTATTCCGAAAGTTCATGTGCGGCGTTTAAATTTTCCAAGGTAGGTATCGCCTATCGCCCGAATTTTGGAAATCGATCGATAGCTTTCCGAGATCCCAGGGTTATCGATCCTTCCCCCTGAAAAACACAAGCCTCCAATTCGCACGGTCCGTCCCCTCTGTCATCTCGGGCCTCGGCCCATTGCAGTCGCGTTGCTCGCTCTGAGGCGGCGCGCGCGGTGAGCGGCGGGCGACTCAGCTGGGCGGCGATCAGCTGACACGCGGCACGTGACCAGTCGGACAGCGCCGCGGCCCGCGGCCCGGCCGGCGCGCGGCCGCCGCAGTGGTCGCGTGCAGGTGGTGCGGGGTGCGCGGCCGGTCTGCCGCGGGTGACGGACGCGCGGACGGGAGAGCGCCGATCGCTGGCTGCTGTGACCGTGCTGTGGTGGCCCGCTCGGCGGTGTCGGTCGGTGATTGCTGAGCCGGGCCCGTCGTCGATATGAAGGAGACCGCCGACACGGACGCCGACAGGCGGGAGTCCGCCTCCGGTCTGGAGATGGAGGACGAGGCGGCGCTGGGCTTCGAACACACCCTGGTAAGTGGGGTGGCGCCCGGCCGTGCTGTGTCACGGGCCGCCCGGCCAACAACAGGTGCCAGGTGGCCGGCCGAGCGGTGCGGGCTCACTGCTCAGTCACTGCTCACAGCCTGGTATGACGGGGGCTCACTGCTCACTGCTCAGTCACTGCTCACAGCCTGGTTTGACGGGTTCACTGCTCAGTCACTGCTCACAGCCTGGTATGACGGGCTCACTTCTCAGTCACTGCTCACAGTCTGGTATGACCCGATCGGCTCTGGAGTTGACGGAAGTGCCTGTGTCGACAGTTTTTCCTGGTAGCACCTGAGATCACATTATACTTATGCCAACGGTAAATACACCAGCACGCCATCACTGCTCCTCAATCGCTTCGAGTCTCACTGAACCAGTCATTCATATTCATGAGCCTAATGGTTTGGAGTGCACCTCAGGCACGGGACGGGCACTTTATTCACCGGTTGGCGGCGCGGCGCGGCGCGGCTGCCATCTGTAGGTTTTCGGCAGTTACCCTGTCAGCCGGACCTCAGCTGTGGCCGGACAGCTGACGAGACCTCCGACCGGGCCCTGCCCACCGCTCTGACGGGGCCTCCGACCGGGCCCTGCCCACCGCTCTGACGGGGCCTCCGACCGGGCCCTGCCCACCGCTGACGGGGCCTCCGACCGGGCCCTGCCCACCGCTCTGACGGGACCTCCGACCGGGCCCTGCCCACCGCTCTGACGGGACCTCCGACCGGGCCCTGCCCACCGCTCTGACGGGACCTCCGACCGGGCCCTGCCCACCGCTGACGGGGCCTCCGACCGGGCCCTGCCCACCGCTGACGGGGCCTCCGACCGGGCCCTGCCCACCGCTCTGACGGGACCTCCGACCGGGCCCTGCCCACCGCTCTGACGGGACCTCCGACCGGGCCCTGCCCACCGCTCTGACGGGACCTCCGACCGGGCCCTGCCCACCGCTGACGGGGCCTCCGACCGGGCCCTGCCCAGCTGACGGGACCTCCGACCGGGCCCTGCCCAGCTGACGGGACCTCCGACCGGGCCCTGCCCAGCTGACGGGCAGCTGACGGGACCCTGTCTGGAAGGGAGGAGCTGTGCCATCTTTGTAAGCGACCGGGCGCTCCAGTTTACCGCAGTCTTTTAACAACACAAAAAAGCAATGTGATCGGTGATGAATAGTGTGTACCTACCTAAAAGGGGAGGTGATGAATAGCGGGGAGGAGTCGGTGACTTAACCCGGCAGGCGGTGGGCCTACCAGCCACCTTCCGCGCGGTGGGGGGGGGGGGGTATCTCCGAAACTACTGGACGGATCCGGAAAATTCAAACAGCGTTCGATAGCCCTGACAAATTTGTTGAAGGAAATCAAATTTCATTGACCTCGGGGTCACCGATGACGTCACAGGTCAGGTCAAAGATAAAATGTTTCACCGTTCACGGGGCTTCTAGGGAAAGCGCTATAACACCGAGTAAAACGCATTTTGTCGAAAATCAGCGATAAGGCGTCAGTTGTCTAGTACATATGTTGCTATTAGAGGTCACTGGTCATACCAGGTCAGGTCACAGGTCAGGTCACCAAAGGTCACCAAGGGTCACCACATGAGCCCAACTTTACTAAGGTTATGCGATGCATGTTTTATGGCCAGTTTTTCATTTCCAACTCAATGGTGTTGGTTATAAGACCATCAGGTACGGTTTAGGTCACTTTTTGGTGGAGGTCAGGTCAAGGTTAGGTCAAAAAAGGTCAAATTTCAAAGTTGATATTTTTGCATAAAATGGGTATCGATTCGATGCAGCTCGTCACGGGGAGTCTAATGGTGGTCTTTGTTTTGCGCTATGAGGTCTAGAATTGCTAAAATTTGAGTTTGAAAATTTGACGTCATCAATTTTGAACAGTCTTTTCGCTATAACTTGGCCATAAAAAGAGGTATCGATCTCAAATTTGGTATGTAGATAGAAAGCGGTAGGGACTATCACATATTTTCCGGTTTTTTCGAAATTCAAAAAACTTTTTGGATTTTTTGGCTATTATATTAAAAAAAATATATTTTTTGATTTTTTGGGGTCAAAATCCAAAAAATTCGAAAAACCGAAATAGCAGTTTTGTAGCCCTTTTGATTCCACACCTTTTATGTCTGAAACATTTTTTCTGTATCTCTAAAGCTGTAGGCCTGACAGCTCTTCCCGCGAAACCTTTTTTTGGGTCGAAAATGGCAAAAATGACGTCACTCTGACGTCATTAGCGGCCAACCTATCATAGCCTTTGGAAAAATTTTTGGTCACCATGTGTGCCAGCTGCTCCCGGGAGGGTACTGAAAGTTTGGTGACGATTGGCGCAGCGGTTCTCGAGATATATTGAAAAAACTAAAGGGGGGGGCAAAAAAATGCCCCCCCACCGCCTGGAAGGTTAAGATATTTAGGTACGAAACACCTGGGAGGACGTGACAACGCCACTCTCCCCCCCCCCCCACGGCGTGTGTTTTAAACTCTCGATTTTGACGACGGTTTGGCGCCCCTTCGTATGAAGCGCCCCCAGATTGCTAGGTCGCCCCTATTTCAACTTGCCGCCCCCCCCCTCCCGAAAAATTCTGGATCCGCCCCTGCGCCAGACTCAGTCGTTTGGTCGGCTGACAAACTCATGCGCCGCATGATATGCCACATTGCATTACATTACAGGGCTTGTCTCACTGCTTAGTGGGAAGGAGTTTTTTTTTTTTTTGCCAAACCGATAACAGCTCGAAGGCTACGTTATGGAGCAGTGAGCAGTGGACAATCATAACACCAAGATGCGCGAGGCTGCAACCTAGAATTTGGCTCACCTTTTTTGGCAGTAATAGACAAATGTTTGAATTTGCCCCAAAAATTAGCCTTTGACTTTTGTATTATAACCGGACTTAATGTTGCCACACTGGGTGCATAGGTTGTTCAAACAAATCTCGAGGCACCACGCGTCCCTGTGATATGATGTTCGATCGACTGTCTTCGAGGTATTCTCACTTCTCAGTTTTGTCGAAAAAGGAATGCGTGCCAGCAGTGACACGAGAGCTGCATGTAGGTACAGGTCTCGCGGGTTTTAGCGGTAGGTTTTGCACCTAGAAAATTTAGTGTACTTCAGGCTATATCTTCGTAGTCTTAAGCTTTTAAGTGTTGAAGATGCGATCGACTTGTTGGTTCACAAGCCGGCCATGATCGTGTAAAATAGCTTCATCGTAGATCGATTAGTTTCTGAGATATCACCGGAAATGTAAAAGTGCAAAACCTACCGCTTAATCTCGCGAGAGCCGTACCTACAGTTCGCGCGGGACAATCTCCCTGTAAGCGGGTATGGTTGTCTGGTTTGCCGATCCAAAAGGACGCACTACCACGCAGTCGCAAAGCAATACGCCAGTTGCGGTGATAAGTTGCAGTACGAGACCGAACACGATTGAACGCCGTTAACTTAAGAATGAATCAGCAGAGAAACTAGTTGCTCGCAGCCTGCGGTTGGCACGTAACTATATTGGATATGATGGCATGCGCGATGGCATAATCGATTGGCATGCACGAGCCCCCGGCTCTGCTCGCCTGCTGTGGCTTGTCCGCGCTTGTGTGCACACGGCTGTGGTCATGAGAGCGCTCCGACACAAGACCTGACATCGGTCTGACCACCCGCCTACAGCAGCGGCTCAGCGCCGAGTGCGGGGACTGCAGCTGTCGGCAGCGGATCGAGCGGCTGCCGGCTCGGCGTCAGTGTAGGTACCTACATACACGTATACGGGTGGGTCGGGTATCCCTGTGACCAGGTGTGGCGGGCACAACTGCTGCGTGCCGAGTGTTCGCCCCGGATCGATATGGAGGGTAGAGCGACGGAGGAGGCTGCAGAGGCCCGGAGAGAGCCGTTCGGTGATTGAGGTGCAATGATTTAGGTCGATCCCCGTCCCGCAGAGGCCCGGCCGTCCGTGCTGCTGACTGGAGGGGGCCCCCGAGGGGGGGGGACTTTGAGCACCGAGCAGCGGGTTGGGGGGGGGGGGGCTTTGAGCAACGAGAAGCCGGCAGACTCCGAGGACGCCGGAAACCACACACTTGTCACAGTGTTGCCCGCTTTCAGCACAGCTCAGCGGCGAGGAAAATGGACCCATCTGCTACCTGTCGGCCTTCGACGACGACTGAAACGATTACATCTGTCCGTACCGATATCATTAATTGACGTCACAGCATCACACCATCATCAAACGGCAGGAAGGCCGTATAAAACAGATACAGCGTTCCAGTGCAAACACCACGCACAATAATGAAGCATTTGTGGGCTAACACTGCCACGTTTAGTGGTTATCATGGTAAGGGGTGAAGCTTGTTACAAGCTGGCGTGAGGACCGTGTCTAAAAATTGTTATGAATCTCATTTCATACTCTACCCAATATTAATAAAACTATGCTTTTCCAGCAGCAGAAAACCGGAATTTTCAATAATGATAAGATATTTATCGGACTGGCCCAATGACGGGAAAATGTCTTTTTTCTGAACCGCTAGGGCTGCCGCGAGGTACTTGGAAGGCTCTGAGTCTGGCCCCAAAGTCATGACTGACCAAAAGTCATCACTGACGGTTGATAACAAGGTAATAGAGCGTTCAGCATGCATGAGTTACGCTGAAACGCCCGGAAAACGTCGACAGCTACACTAGACCGGTATTTAGAATGTTTACATTGTTCAGAGTCGCTGTCAGCGGATGGCGCAGTGTCGCTACTTTCCGTATAGAGCGCAGGCCTCTGGGCACTGAACAACAGCACCTCCCGGTTTGGGAGGTTACACCCTCGCACGTAAGGGGGTAGAAACGGACCCTCTCTCATTGTTTTCGAATAACTCGCGTAAAAACGCACCCTACCGGTGACCGAGTCACCCTACCGGCGCGCGTCCCCTGCCCGTGGCCTCACGCTCCCGGTGGCCAGAGTTCCCTGCCCTGCACAGTTTCCTGCACTCCCCCCCCCCCGGTGACCAGAGTTCCCTGCCCTGCACAGTTTCCTGCACACTC